ACCCAGAGCTTCTCTGGACACCCTGTGCCAGGGCCTCCCCACCCTCACAGGGAAGAATTTCTTCCCAATATCCAACCAAAATCCCAGTGGAAGATATGAGACCACAGAAACTTCTCAGAAGTCAGTTCCTGCTAGAATACCTGGCAGTGACAAATAAAACTGAGCCACAGGAAAGAAAAGGGAAGCAGGGGTCTGCAGGCATGGGTTTGCTTCCCAAGCAGAGTACTCTGAATACCGCCGACAAGACAGGAGCTGGAATTTCTCCTGACAGATGCATTTGCCGAGAAATGCTGACTCTGCAGAATTAAACCCATCTGTGGCACAGAGTTTGTCAAGCCTGCTTGTTTCCTGTTGGCTCACCAGCCTTATCCTCCATTCCCAGGCTTTCCTGACAGCCAGTTTCACAGGGGCCCTTCCCCACTGCCCCTCCTGCAGCTCATTTCCTAGAGGATTTAGTTATTTCCACGGGACCTACTGAATTTGGGACACTCCAACATCAGGGGACTTATTTACAGTCAAGACTCATCCTGCCAAGCAGCCCAGGCTGTCCCATGCCACCCCAGCTGCTGGGCTCTTTGAGCTTCGCAATCCTGTATGTCTAATCCAATTTAGGTTCTGGTCAACAGATGGGAGAGTTGGTTCTTTATGTGCTTGGATCTTGAGTGGGGGCTGTGCGTGCAGAGGGGTCAGACCTGAGGAGGGGGTGTTGCATGCAGGGACAATTTCTGTATTCGGGGGAGCCTCGCCTGCAGGAGATCCATGCAGGGAGCCCTGGATACAGGGAATGTGTGTGTACAGGGTCGTTTGGAAGGTGTGGAGGAGGATGTGTGTGCGCTCAGGGCATCTGTGAGAGGAGAAGCACGGAGGAGGGAAGGGAAGCAGGAAATCAGCAGGTCCTGTGGGTAGAGGGAGTCAAGAGAATCACGGAATTCCAGAATAACCTGAATTGGACTTGGATGAGTTGCGTCCAGCACAGAACCCCCTACTCCCGTCTCTTCCTCCAGGGAAACAGAGGGGACCCGAAAGGGGGCTGGAAAAAGCCTCTTGGGGCACGGCTAGGGGAAAGCTGGCTCTGTTCCCCCTCGGCCAGCCGCTGCCATGCCGACACGTTCTTCCCAGCGCCCCTTTCCCGGCCCCGGTTCTCCCTAGCGGGGAAACGAAACCAGGCGTGGCCGGGGAGGCGGAGGGGGGAGGCGGCGTGGGGGCCGGGCCCGGCCCGCGGGNTGGAGGTTTGTAGGGGATATAAGGGTTGAAAAGGGGTTTTGGGCACAGCGCTGAGCCGCGTTATGGTTCGGAGCGGGATGCGGGGGTGTCTCCAAGACCTGCCTCGCAGCAGTGTCCTCCTGAAGCAGGAACTTCGGGGTTTCCCCGCCTGTATGAATAGGTGAGCATCTCCGGCTGTGCGGGTGGATATCCTGGAGCTTTTCCCAGTTGCAGCTCGAACAAAGGAGCAGGGCCGGCTCCGCTCCTCTTTTTCGGCGCAGCCAGCCGGGATAACGGCGCTGGGATGGGCTGAGATGCAGCCGAGAGGAAGGAGGGTGGAGGGGAGAGGCAGCCCAGCCCCGGCAATGGCTGATGGAGCAAAGTCAGGGCAGAGCCACGGGTGATTCTGGCTCCTGCTGCCCCCTCCGAGCATCCTTCGGGGCCGCCTGCGGTGGCCGGTGCGGGGCGCGATGACCCCAAAGGGACAAAGCCCTGTGGGGCCGCCGAGAACGCGGTTCCTGTTGCTGCGTGTGTTAAACTGCCAAGTTGCCCAAGTCACAGGGCCTGCCACCCCCTCCTTCCCCATCCACCCCATTCCTCACTATCCAAACTCCTCGGGGCCGTGCAAAACCGCGTATTGTTCCCATATGTCGCTGCTTGGAGAAGCCAAACAAAGAGCGAAGGGGAGAGTTCTGAGCTCTCCCAGCCCCTGCTCAGCACGCAGGGTCCCTTCTTGTTTTCTGGGGGCACCGCTGGGATGAAAGTGGCTGTTTGCTGCCCTTGCCATTCCCCCTTCCCAGCGGGATCCGGGAAGCAGCTGGCAATTGTAGCCTTGAGTCTCGGGCAGAGACTTGTGCTGGCTTGTGCTCAGTTCCAGCACAAGCTGGATGGGCGGGCCAGGCCAAGGCAGGTAAGGGTTTCATCTCCCCCACCCCCCAAAAAAACAACAAACCGCAACCCGTTCAGCTTTAAAAGTAAGTTTTAATCCAGGCAGAAAGGTTTGCTGCAGGTGGTTTTATCCCCAAACACTTCCAGCATGTCCGGGGGGGATTTCACAGAAGAGCTTTACCCCCTGCTCAAAGATCGAGCCTGTGGATCTTGATAAGGATTTTGCCTAAGAGAATGGAAAAGCAGCATCGGGGCTTGAATGGAAAAGCTGCCAAAGCAACAACAGCATTTTCCTGGTGCTGCCGAGCTCTAGAGTGGGCTTTTAAAGGCGTTTTTTTCCCCTGTCTTTGCAGAAATTATTCAACCCCTTATCTGAAGGAATTCCCCCAAATACCCTGCTCTGTTTTGGAAGCTCTTTGTTCCTCCGAGAAGCCAAGCAGCAAACAAATAAACACATTAATTCTTCCACAGGTGCAAACAAGGCTTTTCTTTTGCATTGTTCAGCCTTGGGGTTGTTTTTTCCCCTTTTTTTTTTTTCTTTTCTTGTAACCTTGAGCTCCAACTCTTTTCTCCGTCCACAGCTGCATGAAATTAATTCTGCCACCCCTCTTGTGCCGTTTGTCTTAATCACTCATCCTGTTTAACCTCTCGTAACTCTGCAGTGGGTGGTTTTTGGGGGGCAGAAAGTGAATATTTCCTTTCTTAAACTCTGCCTCTCGTGGAAGGATATTTTCTGGTAAGATGGGGGGTAATGGGTAGGTGTGACAATGACAAACATGGGGACAGGTAGGAGATGCAGTGGCAGGAGCAGGGATTGAGTCACGTGGCGGAGAATTTCATGCCCAACAGCACTTTCATGTCATGTCCAAAGACTTCTGGTGTGTTTGCTCCTGGAACCTTTAATGAACAGCATTGCACCACTCGTGCCTTCGATGCAGCGAGCAATTACAGATGGGGACATCTGTCCTGCCAGAATGCCCACAGGAAGCCTGTAATCCACTTCATTCCTGATCGCTGAAGATTCCTGGGATGAGTCAGTTTGCCTCCTCGGGGTGGTTGGGAGGTGAAGAGTTTGGGACAGACTTGGGAGCAGAGCTGGGCTTCGCTCTGAGGTCCCACATGGAGCTGGGGAGCGAGGGGCAATGACTCAGTGGCTGGTCCCGTCCTCCTTCCCGTCTCCTAAATGCAGAGATCCACTGAGGAGTCTCTCCTGGAGGTTTTGACTCAGCTGGTGGCCCTGTCATCCCGGTGCTGTGGGTTGTGGTGGCTGCCTTGGTGTGCTCAGGTAACCCTGTAAGATCAGGGTAAGGATCCTCGGAGGATGCGTGAGCCAGTCCAGGAAATTCCTGCTTGGGGGGTTGTGGTGTTGGCTTCCACTCCAAAGCAGAGATTTGGCTGCTCTGCTGTGACATTCAGGATCTCCCACTAACCTACTTTAATCTGTTTCTCTGAGATTGTATTTTGTTTTCTTTCCCCTCCTCAGCTGTGGCTGCTCAAAAGTCACTCCTCTGAGAGCGATTGTTATTTTTTCCCCTCTTTTTTCTTGTAGAAACCTTTTATTTTCCTGAGAGAAACAGGAATGAGAAGAACCTTGAGATGTGCAGTCCTATGGCAGAGCGGGACAGATGCTGAGCAATATTTGTCCAAAAAAGAATCGTTCAAAATACCCATGTCAGGAACTGCTGAGCCTCAGGGAACATTCCCAGGGCTTCACTTCCTTAGGAAAATAGTCCAAGGGGGAAGAAAGAAAGCAAGAAAGCTGGAGAGGGCTTTTTTTACAGGGATAGGACGAGCAGGAATGGCTTCAAACTGAAAGAGAGTAGGTTTAGGTTGGATATTGGGAAGGAATTCTTCCCTGTGAGGGTGGGGAGGCCCTGGCACAGGTTTACCAGAGAAGCTGTGGCTGCCCTTGGATCCCTGGAAGTGTCCAAGACCAGGTTGGAGGGAGCTTGGAGCAACCTGGAAGAGTGGAAGGTGTCCATGCCCATGGCAGGGAGTGGAACTGAACAATCCTGGAACTCCCAACCCAAACCATTCCATGATTCTTTGATTTGTAGCTGGAGGAGGTGGGAGCAGGGATGGGGCTGCCTCACACTTCCCACCCTGAATCAGCCCCCTGCTCTGTTCTGCATCCTGTAAATACAGAAAGGGAAAGGCAGTGCCTCGTGGAAGGGCTGCCTGGGAGCTCCAAAATCCCGAGTCCATGGAACATTGGGAACAGGCCTGATCTGTCTGCATATGTAGGTCAGCAACTGCAGCGTGGATGCGATGCTCTTGTATGTAAAACACAGAGATCAAAGTGCCCGTGGCCCTGCTGAGTCTCTGGTCCAGGCTGTCCCCACAACCATTTCCCACCCCAAATGCTGTTTTCCTGCTCTTTGTGTAGGATAGGAGCCAGCTAATCCATCCTGCTGCTGTAGGATAAGCCCTGAATGGCCTCAGGTTGCTCCAGGGGAGGTTTAGCTTGGAAATGAGGAAAAATTTCTTCACTGGTCAAATTTTGGAGCAGTGGTGGAATCACCATCCCTGGGAGTGTTCAAAAAATTGTGCAGCTGAGTTGCCTAAAGATTTGGTTTAGTTGTGAATTTGGCAGTGCTGGGTTAATGGTTGGGTTCAAAGATCTTAGAGGTCTTTTCCTGAAATGATTCCCTGATTCCGGAATTTTAGGGGACCTGACAGTCTTGCAGGTCTTGAGCTTTCTGCAGCTGAAAAATCATTTCCACCACGTGCTCCGGCTCAAACATGGCCTGATCTTGGTGCCCAAAGTCAGGTCATGTAAAATTTGAACCCGTGGTCACACCTGGAGCGTTTCCCATCAGTGTCACAGAATCATAAAATCAGAATGGTTTCGCTTGGGAGGGACCTAAAGATCACCCAGTTCCAACCCCCCTGTCCCAGGCAGGGGCACCATGTCCGTGGTGGCTGAGCTGAACAAGCCCAAACCTCAAAAATTCACCCTCTGGAGTTTGGTTTCAAGTTGGCAGCTGTATCTCGGACACATTCTTGGTGCAAACAGGGTGGTGACAGAAGGTGCCAGGCTGTGGTTGTATCAGCTTTAGCTGATAAAAGATTGAAATGCCTTCCTGAGGCTTGAACCCTTTGCTTAGCCAGTTTTTTTTGGGGGGGGGGAAAAAAAAAATCCCCTATTTCAGGTTGACAAAACTGAAAGTGTGGCTGTGGGCAGACGCGAGACGTCCCGTGGGACAGAGGTGGGGACCTCCAAGTGAGGACATCTTCCCACCAGCCCCTAAACGAGCTTTGCCTTTCTCTTGCAGCCCACACACTCATCTGCTTTTCCTGCTCGGATGCCTCCTCCAACTGGGCCTGCCTGAAGCCTGTCAAGTGTGGAGAGAATGAAAACCACTGCGTGACGACGTATGTCGGAGTGGGACTCGGTGAGTGGTGACAGCACCTCCTCCTGCCCCTCTTGGCTTCTCTCCTGGGTCACCTGCTGAGCTGCAGCCAGGCTTTGCCGCCTTCTGGCTGGGGGAAAAAAAAGGGAAAGTTCTGCTTAGCAACTGCGTGTCGGACCATCCCACAGGAATTCTTAGGAGGGACGCGCTGCCAGGAGGAGTCACGTTAAAGCCCACGTGCCTGCACCGATGCCCGCGAGTCCGGGGGGAATTTCAGGCTGGGGGCGGGGAGTTTGCTGATGAATAAGTGAAAGCGTGGAGGATGCTGCAGGCTCCTTGTGTGGGAAGCTCCAGGGTTGCTATTCCTGCTGATTTTTTTGCCTCCTGTTTGGGTTCTTCGTCCCCGAGTCCCACCTTTGCTTCACTTTCCGTGGACGAGGCAGGAAGGGAGGGTTGCGGTTTTCCTTCCTGAGTGCCTGGAGAGATTTGGGGAGTTCTGTCCTTCCCAGCTGCTGCTCCAAGGGAGGCAGGATGCTCTGGCAGATCTTCTGGCGCCTTTGCAGGAACCAGAGCCCATCCTGGCTCTCCCTGGCAGGGAGAGGAGGGGGAATTTCATGCCCGAGTCTGCAGCGTGGGTGGGTCAGATGTGCACAAACAGAGACTGGGAGCTTTTATAAACTTCCCTTCATAGCCCAGTGCTAATGGTTTCCTCTTTCCTGCCTCTTAATGTGGGCTGTGCCTCTCTGGAAATGCAGACTTGGCTCCCAAGTGTCTCCCCAGTGCTCCCTGTCTCCCTTGAGGAGCCCCAGAGCGAAGCTCAAGAGGGATTTTTGGGATTCCTCACCGGAGCTGTTGCAGCTGAACGTTGGCCGATCCAAAGGGTCCCTGGGGAGTTGTGTGGTCTCCAGGGTGTTTGTGGGAGCTTATCATGGGTGATAAGATGGGCTGGCTGGCATTCCTGTCTCTGAGAACCACTTCATCCCCTCTGGAGCACTTCATCCTCCCTGTGCTGCCTGTGCTGCCCCAGCTCTTCCAGCGCTGAAATCCTTTGGCAGAGCAGGTGATCAGAAACCCAAAAAAAAACAAACATGCTAAACCTGTCTCTTTTCCTTCCTCTCCACCCGACCCCAAATCCAGGCGGCAAATCCGGCCAGTCCATCTCGAAGGGATGCTCTCCCATCTGCCCCAGCGCCGGGATCAACCTGGGAATAGCGGCTGCCTCCGTTTACTGCTGCGACTCCTTCCTCTGCAACATCAGCGGTTCCAGCAGCGTCCGAGCCAGTTACGCCATCCTGGCCTTGGGAATTCTCGTCAGCTTCATCTACGTCCTCCAGGCTCGCCAGTGATGGGGCTGCCCGAGGAAGAGCCGCCTCCCACGGGTCTCGTTAGCCAATATCTTCTCTGTTGCTGTCTGCAAGGAGATCCTCTACTTCTCAGCAGGCTTCCAAGGTGATTGTTTCCCAGACTTTTTGCTCTTCCAAGAATTGGAGACCTGAGCGGTTTGGTCAAGCTGTTCTCCTCCTGTGGACGTCTCCCACTGCACTCTCGCTCCTCCTTGGCCAAGGTGGATAATTTTTGAAGGTTTCTGCTTTTTCTACCTATTAATAATCTACCCACCCCCCCCCCCCC